TTGGAAGAAGGCTCATTAAGTGATGTACAAATGATACAACCTTAATTGCTGCAAGTGAAGAAGACTTGAAATACTAACTTTGATGAAGATCAAAGACTACAGATGTCAATATGGATTGCACCTCAATGTAAAGAAAACAAAAATTCTTACAAATGCACCAATAACTATCATGATAAATGGAGAAATGTTTGAAGTTATCAAATATTTCATTTTGTTTGGATCAAGACTCATGGAAGAGGGGCTGTGTGCTGATGACCAGGGGAAGGCTTGCGGGGTATACACTTTGGTTGGCTGATGATGCATGGAGGGGATTGTAACTATGGCAATGAAATGATATATGACAGGATGAATGTAAAGCTAATGTTCTCCCATGTAAACTATCACATAATTCACAATAAAATATTTATTTAAAAAAAGACTCATGGAAACAGCAGACAAGAAATCAAACAATATATTGGATTTGGCAAATCTGCTGTACAAGACCTCTTTAAAGTGCCCAAGAGCAAAGACAACAGTTTGAGGGCTAAGGTGAGCCTGACTCTAGCCACGGTATATTTAATAACCTCAGATGCATGTGAAAGTGAGACAAGAAATAAGGAAGCCCATATAAAAGAATGAATGCATTTGAGTATGATGTTAGAGAAGAATACTGAAAGTACCATGGGTTGCCAGAGAACAAACAAATCTGTCTTGGAAGAAGTACAAAATCTCAAAGCTCTTTAGAAGCCAAAATAATGAGACTTTTGTTTCTCATATTTCAGACATGTTATCAGGAGGGAACAGTCCCTACACAAGAACATCATGCTTGGTAAAGTGGAGGGTCAGCAAAAAGAGGAAGGCCCCAACAAGATGGATTGGCACAGTGGCAGCAGCAATGGACTCAAGCATCACAACAATTGTGAGGATGTCATTCTATTGTGCATAGGGTCACTATGAGTCAGAAACAACTCAATGGCCCCTAACAACAACGAATTGTGAGAGAATAAATTTCTGTTTGTTGAAGCTATCCACTTGTGATACTCTGTTATAGTAACACTATATCATTGACACAGACCCCATGCTAAGGATGACAGAGTATAAAGAAGAAGCCTGAGACACAGATGTTACTTTGATGTAGCTATACCAGCAGTTCCTCTAGACTTTTTGTGAAATGAAAATAGTAACTTCCTCTTGATTAAGTAACTATATGCTACACATTGATTTAATAAGCTTTACACACTCTACGGCACTTAACAACAACAACAAACACACTCTACATCCCTTAAGAAGTTCTGGTGTGGCACAGAGGATAAGCACTGGACTGCTAACTGTAAGGTTGGCTGTTCAAACATACCAGTCACTCCTTGGAAACCCTACACAGAGTTACTATGAGTCAGAACTGACTCAATGACACTTAACAACAACAATACACACCTTAATGAATCCTGGTAACACAGTGCATTATGAGCTGGGCTGCTAAGCGCTAGTTCAACAATTCAAATCTACCAGTAAGTCCTGGGGGGAAAGATGAGGCTTTCTGCTCCCGTAAAGATTTACAGCCTCGGAAACACTATACAGGGTAGCGATGAGTTAGGACCGTCTCAACAACACACAACAACCACCAACCACATTCCTTATAGAACAAACACAAGGCTTCCTAGCATGGCATACAACACTGTTGGTGATCAGTTTCACTGACCCAGTGAAACTCATAAATGAAACAATTATATACTGTATTTACATAAATGAAGTACTTATACTTTCTACACCAGCAACTCTAAATCATTTAAAAATAACACATACCATTTTTAAAAAAAGCTAAAGTGGATAAAGAGAAATACTTTTAACTGATGGTATATGGAGGGGATTATAATCAATGTAATGAAACAAGTTATATGAATTGTTGAATGTGAAACTGATGATGTGCCCTGTAAACTTTCACTCAATCCACAATAAAAACCTTAAATTAAAAAAAATAATAATAAAATAACACATACCAGTGAGCTCTTATTCCGCAATTATCCCCTCCTCAGCATTTCCAAGCTACTGATGCCTCCGACTAAAGTGGGGGCCCTGACTCCTCCTTCTCACATCACTCCACATACCAGTCAATACAGTATCAGTGCTGCATTATAACCATTTGCTTATACATCTTTTTCCCCAACAAGCTTGGCAGTTTCTCAAAACAAATATAACATTATCTTAGTTGTGTTGCTATTCCTAGATCCAGGCAAAGTACCAGGTCCTCTAGGGGTGTTCAGACAATGTTTGTTGAATTAGATTTACATTAAACATGACTGTTTACCACCCCCACCCCTAAGAAAAACAGAGGTAATACAGGCAAATACTGTCGAATGATGATGCACAGAGAAGATTGTAATCATTGCAATGAAATGATGGTATAAAACTGATGTTCTCCCATGTAAACTATCACTCAGTTCACAATAAAAATTTAAAAAAAAAAAAAAAATGCCTGTTTAACTAGTAAAATCTGTTACCTAATGTAGTCCATTTTGACTCACAGCGGCGCCATAGGACAGAGTACCACTGCCCATACAATCTTCTAGGCTGCAATCTTTATGGGAGCAGATCACCTTTTCTTTCTCCCACAGCAAGACAGGTATATGCCATCAATCTTTTGTTTAGCAGCCAAGCACTTAATTGTTGTTGTTGTTGTTATGTGCCAGCCAGTCTGTTCAGACTCATAGCAACCCTGTACAGGGTTTCTGAGGAGTGGCAGATGAGTTTGAAATGCCAACCATGTGGTTCAAATCGATCTTGAGGTCAAGATTATTAAATAACCCCCTAAAATCAAAAAACTATTCTCACCTGTAAATTAACCCTAAAAACAAGAAAAATGCTGGGGTATTTTCTATCATCACATGTTTATTGATGTTATAACATAATTTTGGTTATTAGCAAAGATCTTTAAGTCCTAAAGGCATCCCTAAACAGTTTTTTCACCTTCCTTAAAGGATTAGGCCTTATTTCCAATGGGAAATCAGAAAGAAAAAAACAAAAACAGATAACCAAAGATTACATTTTCTTACACATTATTAGCAACACTCATCCAAATGAAAATAGAAAAGAAATAAAATGTCTATATACCTGTCACACTGCTGCATTATGGAAATTTCCTTGATGATTTCCTGAAGATCCGATTCAACCGGCACTTGCTTAATGGCCACAACTTGACCAGATTCCTTATGGATTGCTTTAAATACACTCCCATAAGACCTAAAAGAAACCAAACCATTAGTTTCTTTCAAATATCGTAAGTGTTAGAAGAAATCATTCTAGTATGAGTTTTTGTCTGTGATCTTTTCTAGTTGAACCACCACCACCAATTGCTGTCCAGTCAATTCCACTTCCTGGTGGCCCCATGTGTTGCAGATAACTGCAGCCCACAGGGTTTGCAAGGCTGTGCTCTCTCAGAAGCAGAAAGCCAAGTCTTTCTTCCAAGGAGATTCTGGGCAAATAGGAACCACCAACCCATCAGGTCTTCTTTGTAGTTGAATACACGATTTAGTAGTAAATATTGAAAGTAAATCAATAACACAGGAGAAGTTCATTACTTCTAGCTTCAGTGCTTCAATGATAAACTTAAAATCTACTAAAATCATCAAATGAATAAATAATGATTTATTTGCATACTTATGAAAGAACATATTTATGGGTTTGTCAACTCAAACAAACACAGCATTGTTGTTAAGTGCCATCGAGTCAGTTCCAACCCATAGCGACCCTGTACAGGGTTTCTGAAGCTATAAATCTTTACGGGAGCAGAAAGCCTCATCTTTCTTTCACAGAGCGGCTGGTAGTTTCGAACTGCTAACCTTAAGGTTCACAGCCCGATTCGTAACCATTATGCTTCCAAAGCTCCTTAAACACAGCACTAAGAAGATATAAAAGGAAATTAAAAGAATGAAATATAGATTAATAATAGCCAGAATCTCCAGTAGAAGAAAAGGCTGTCTTCACCCTAAGCAAAGACACCCTCAACATATCAAAGACCCGTATCTGTTTAGAGCATTCAAGTGCAGCTGAAACCCTCACCTGGAGGACCCCATAACACACATACACACACACACAAGACGATGCAGATAAGTGGGGCAGAGGTAAACAATAATGCATTCACAACCTTGGAACAACAGGGCTCTGGGATACAAGAATGGAAGCATGGTTTGAAGGGATAAACGAAGGGAATGATGTCAAGATGCTTGGCTGTGTTTTGAATCTTGGTTTTCCTTATCTAATATTATAAAATAGACTCTTGAGGGGGATAGAAAGGAATTGCCAGAAACATCACCATAGAAAGCTTGTAAGTCCATCTTCAGTCTATACCTAATTGGAATACCTAAAATGGGACTACAACGTGTCCAGTGACGGAGGCTTCCTGCAGAGCCTTTTCATTGCATAAGACCATAGGTGGAATCCTGATCCTCATCCAGAACCTTTTGAGGTGGGAAATTTCCACTGAAAGGACAAGCAGACCAGCCTGGAACAACTAGAAGAACAGAAGATACTTCTTGAAAGAAAGACCAACAGGAAAAATAAAAAATGGCATTCTGACTACTACAAGAACAAGCAAGTTGTTTCCCGGGAGCTATCAAGGGAAGTGTTCAGATCTTCAGATCCCCTCAGGGCAAACCCCCTTCCAAGACTAAGATGCAAGGGGAATACAGGAGCAGGCATGTGGGCTTGCTGCTGACCACAATGGTCACCAATAAGGGGAAGTAGATGAAAAACAGCAATTAAGTTGTGAGCTAAGTCTATCTGCATTCAATAGACTTCTGTCAATTTACACTACACCAAAACAACAGTTATATGCGCAAATCGTGTTCCTTTCAATGTTCTTTAGATTGGGGAACAAAACAAAACCCAGAGACTAGACAGGATAAAGTTTTCCAACAAAATTCTTGTAGGACAGCCCTTGCTACCCTTGAAGGATGAGCAGACACATTGTCATTATAGTAAAAAATTCTTTGACACACCTTTTCTGGTCTTTTTCTCAACAGTGTTGTTTTTCAATTGCTTGAAACATCTTCATAATAAGCCCCTGTGATCATCCTGTCCTTCAAGACAGTCTATCAAAAGTACCCCTTTGAACCCCAAAAAAACAGTCACCATAACCTACAAGCTGCCTTGAATCTAACTGACCCAACAGATCCCCTGTGAACACACTGTTTTGGTTAGACTATTTTTTTTTAAGGCCCCTAGTAAAACTAACAAGTATATTACTAAGAAAACTTATCTGCAGCCACCCGCTGATCTCTGAGACATATGTAAACATGTTTTGTTTGAAATAAACCTGTGCCTTAAGTATGGGTTGCACCTCAATGTAAAGAAAACAAAAATCCTCACCACTGGAACAATAAATAACATCATGATTGTTGTTGTTGTTAAGTACCGTGGAGTCGGTTCCGACTCATAGTGACCCTGCACAGGGTAATCTGTGTTGGAAGAAGTATAGCCAGAATGTTCCATAGAAGCCAGGATGGTGGGACTTCATCTCTTACACTTCGGATATATCATCAGAAGTGACCACTCCCTAGAGAAGGACATCATGCTTAATTATGTGGAGGGATAGCAAAAAAGAGGAAGACTCCAACAAGATGGACTGGCACAGTGGCAGCAGCATTAGGCTCAAATTGAACAATTATTGTGGGAATGACACAGGACCAGGCAGTGTTTCATTCTGTTGTATATAAGGTCACCTAACAACAGCAACAACAAATGAATTGAAACCCCCGTAGCATTTATTTTTTATTTTTTATTTTTACTTACCCAAGTGTATGTGTGGAGTACTGATGTAGTGCTGTAGGATCAGCACTGGACTGCTAACCACAAGGTTGGTGGTTCAAATGCACCAGCCGCTCCTTGGAAACCCTATGTAGGGTCACTATGAGTCAAAACTGACTGGACAACAATTAACAATAACAAATGAATATACAGAGAGAGGGAGTCCTAGTGTGCTGCTGTGGGTTAATGCACTAGACTGCAAAGTTGGTTTGCACTGCAAGGTTGATGGTTCAAGCTAATCAGTAGCTCTTTGTAAACCCTCTGCAGGGTCACTATGGGTCTGAACCCACTCGACAGCAGTTAACAACAACAACATACAGAGAGAGAAGACAGAAAGAGTGCTTCCTCAAAAGCTAAATAAAATTCTGTCCTAAATTATCTACTAACAAGCAACAGAATCACTCCTTTCCAAGGTCTCCTCAGCACTGCAAAAGAGAAGCTGAGAATCACACTTCCCAGAACCACCTTCCCTGAGTGGCTACCAGTTAAAGTTTAGAAAGTACATGAAACGTCACTGGCAAAAAGGTAAGTGGAAAACCATGATTCTCCAGATGCTGCTGCAGTAGATACATTGGCAGATTTAAGATGCACAGGGCTTCCTGGATCAGCTTTTCATAACTACCACACCACTATGTGAGGTTCTGGTGTGGCACTGTAGGAAAAGTACTATATTGCTAACTGCAAGGTTGGTAATGCCAACCTGCCAGCTGCTCCTCAGAAACCCTACACAACAGGGATACTATGAATCAGAGCCAACTCAAATGCACTTAACAACACTGCTATGCAGACTGAAATAGTTGGTAGGAGCTTCTCACATTGTAGCTATTGAACATCACACATTTCCGAGCATCACGCTGAGCTCTCCGAAGCTGGCTTCCCTGATCTTCAGCAGCAGCTTCATGGCCTTGCATCCCTGGCCCTTCCACAGCTATTTGCACTCCAAATTGTATATAAATTAAACTCTTTATATGTAGCCTGAATAGAGTAGCTTATATTTTCCTGACCAAACCCTAATACCAATACAGTTTGGGGTAAGAAAAGTGACTTCAATGGAAAGAATTTTAAAGTTGAAAATCTTGAATTAGGTCTCTCTCATTAGATTTGAAGACAATAATGACTTCAATGCTAGTGGCAAATACAGCACTAACAGCCCATGGCATCTGTAACAACAGTTGCTTAAAGTATCACTCATTGCTCCCTGGAGTCTAAGCAAATCTTTAGGAGACCAAAGAGCTGCAACAACAGAATACTCCGGTGAAAATAGAGTAAATACAAGAACTAAAGAGTGGGCTGGCTGCCTCCGCCTGTCCTGGAAAATCTATAGAACAAAGAGAACAAGCTCAAGGCTTAAACTCCCACCTCAAGACTGAAAGAAACAGAAAACTTCTGAATGTCCTGTGGGGGGTGTGGGGGACTTAACAGGCACCTTACTTTGATTTAAGGGGTTTCTCTTAACCACGAGAACAACAATTATCCATAAAATACCCGACCCAAACAGCGAAACTGTTAACTTGTTTCTATTGTTCATTTTTTTCACAAGGAATTGCTCCACAACACTATAAATCTGTCTTTACCAGCTACAAAGGGTTGATGTTGTGCACCAGAGGGTCCATTCTGACTCACTGTGACCCCAAGTGGCAAAGCAGAACTGCATCCACACGTTTTTGTGTGGCAATGCCAGTCAGCAAGGTCAATTTAAACCCCAAGGTTGGCAGTTCAAACCCACCAGCCGCTCCTCAGAAACTGTATGCAGGGTCACTATGGGTCAGAACCGACTCAACAGTACTTAACAACAGTGTTTACAAAAGCAGATCACCAAGCCTTTCCTGTGATGCTGCTGGGTGGGTTTCAACTGTAACCTTTAAGTTCATCAATAACAAAATCATGATTTCATAAAAAGTCTGTGTGCTTCCTTCATTTTAATTTCAAAAATTTTTATATGTACAAATTAGAAGACAAATTTTTAGGAGTTACTTTTTTTAATGCTAACTCAATAACCAGAATGCCTTGCTGCCGTTAAAGCTATGTAAACCCTCCAATCTTCAAAAGCGTCTTCTCATTTTGCAGGGAGACAGATGCTTCCCTGATTTGCAGACTGTTTACTAAATCATGAAACAAGTATCATATAATTGTTTTGAACTAATTCAAAACTTTATTTTTTTAACATCTGTAACTAGCCTACTTTTAACCACTTGGATTTAAAAACAAAATTATCTCCCTGTTTACATACAAAATGACAGCTTGAAATAAAACTTACGTTTTAATTTCTTGGTGCTTTGATTATTTTTAAAAACGCCAAGAGTATTACTTAGTTCTTGTGGACACACGGCTGATAATTCTGCAAGCTTCACCTTACTAGAAGCTGAATTACACTGCAAATTGAATTAACCACACCACCAGTCCACTGTGTTAAAATTCAAGCGCCAACAGTGAAGAGAGGAACCCAAAACTCTGGGGCTGTTCTCTGGCAGTGGTAGTATTAACCCCTAGAGTGGGTTCTGACTTACAGTGACCCTCTATAAGGTTTCCAAGAAGCAGCAGGTGGCACCAGCAGTGCCACACAAAAGCGTGTGGGTGCAGTTCTGCTTTGCCACTTGGGGTCACAGTGAGTCAGAATGGACCCTCTGGTGCACAACATCAACCTTTTGGTTAGCATTTCAGTGCTTATCCTACAGTGCCACATCAGGACTCAGAGACAATTAGGGAGATGCTTGTTAATCTGTGTATCCTGAAGTTGCAACCCCCACCAAACCTATCAAATCAGCAAAGCATCAGATTAGCCTCATAAAGCGCAAAGACTTTATAAAGGCCTCACCTTTCAAGGAATGTTAACAGTCTCCTCCCCTACCACTTCTCATTGTCTCCAGACTCATAATTACACTCATATTCCGGCCGACATCTAAGGGATGAGTATAACACCCGGCCCAAAAGCACCTCTATTCATACCAAAAAAATTGAAAGATTCTGTCCAGTTTTATCAGCAGAATCCTAAAAAATATGTGTGGGAATAGATCTAAAAGATAAAGGAATTTACTGATACGGATACAGAGACCAGAAATTCCAAACTTAGCATGTTAGCTAAACAGCTGGGAGTGGCCCTAAACACTGACTTGGCTACTGATCTGAAACTGGTGTCAGCAGTACCAAACCAAACCCACTGCCATCCATTTTGACTCAAAGTGACCCTGTAAGACAGAACAGAACTGCTCCATGGGGTCTCCAAGGCTGGAAACCTTTATAGAACTAGACTGCCTCATCTTTCTCCTGAGGAGAAGCTGGTGGATTCAAACAGCCAAGCTTTCAGTTAGCCCACCGAACCAGCAGGGTTTCTGGTAACCACAGTAACCTACACTAAGTGAGCTGGCAGTCAACCCTCAGTAACACTCTAAAGGCTCAAGGAGATGAAATGTTGGGATGCACTAAAAGTGATTTGCACACCCACCCACAAATTATGTTCCTAAAGAAATCCTGAGACTATTCCATTCACCAAGATGAGGGAAGACTCAGTTCTACAGTGCAAGCCAGGACTATAACAGGAGATGCCAACATTGAAATGGGTTCACTGAATTCAAGAATTGATGGACTCCAGAAAAAAAGGAAGACATGTACCAACACACAGCCACCTGAGACAAGGTTATCATAATGGTTACCAAATTAATACTAGACTACAGTTTTCTGGTAGTGCATATCTTGGTTTTGACATTAAAGTTAAACTGTCTTCATGAAAATAGCTGCAAATATTTGTCCTTTTAAGACTGAGTAAAACTCAGCTATAGTAAGCCGAGCTGGTTTCTTTCTTTCTTTTTCACTGTGGTAAGGTACACATAACAAAATTCATCATTTTGAAATACATGATTCAGTGGAATTTAATACATTCACAATATTGGTGTGGCACTGTATGATAAGCACTGGACTACTAATCACACGTCTGCAGCTCAAACCCACCAGCTGCTCCTTGGAAACTCAATATAGGGTAGCTGAGTTGGAACCACTTAACAACAATATTACCACCATCTAGTTCCAAAAGCTTTCCATCACACCAAAAAGACCCCAATACCCATCTGGTGTTGTTATCGTTAATAAGTGTTGTCGAGTTGGTTACAACTCATAACCTCGTGGTTAACAATTCAGTGCTTATCCTACAGCTCCATACTCCCCATTCCTCCCTCTTTCTAGCCTATGGCAACCACCAAACTGCTGTCTCTATGGATTTACTAATTCATATACCTCAAATAAATGAGGTCATACAATATATGAATGTCTGTCTCTCGTTTCTTTCTCAATATATTTTCAGGCTCGTCCACATTGTAACATGAACTAGTATTACACTTCATTCCTTTTCAGTAATATGCCATTGTATAAAAATGCCACATTTTGTTTATCCATTCATCAGCTGATGGACATCTAGATTATTTTCTCCTTTTGTATACTGTAAATGCTACTACTATGAGCTCTTGGTGTTAAGTGCCATGGAGTCAGTGACGAGTCATTGCGACCCTGCACGTACAGAGTCTAAGAGGAGTGGCTGGTGGGTATGCACCACTGACCTTGCAGTTAGCAGTCCAATCAATGCTTATCTGACAGAACCACCCAAGGACTCTGCTACTGTAATGCACTGGACTGCAAAGTTGGTGTGTGTGTGTTATTTGCATAAATAATGCAGTAGATTACAAAGTTGGTGGTGTATGTTATTTGCATAAAAATAAAGTAACAGCAGTTATATTTAAGGTATTCCATAGCAGTTGCTGAAGAAGGATATCATGTCTGGTAAGGTGGAGAGTCAAGAGTAGAGGAAGACCCCCAACGAGATGGATTGGCCAAGTTGCAGCATCGATGGACTCAAGCTTGGCAACAGTAGTGAGACTGGCCCAGGATCGGGCAGTGTTACGTTCTGCTGTGCATAAGGTCGCTATGAGTTGGTACCGACTTGATGGCATCTTACAACAACAACGACAAATAGGAGTCCTGGTGTGGCACTGTGGGCCAATGCGTCAGACTGCAAAGTCGTTTGAACTGCAAGGTCGGTGGTTCAAGCTCCCTATGCAGGGTCGCTATGGGTCGGAATCGACTCGACGGCACTTAACAACAACATAGTAATCTTGCTTCTCAGAGAAGTAGGCCATATAGGTAAGGGAAAAGCAAGAAACATGATATAAAATGACTCCAAGAGGTTTATTAATTGATGCATCCCATATGACATTTTTATAAGAATTTGTAACTTTGAAAGCTGCTAATTTTGTCAAGCTATTGAACGTAAGACCATTTTCAATATACTTTTTCAGATCTTGGACCTCATTTTATTTGGGAAATGTGATTAATAGGTAGAAATAGAGTATCTAGTGAGAACAGCAGTGTGTACTGGTAGAGGAATAGTTGATATGCTTTCAATACAGTAGTTAAGGAACATCTCATTTTGAGCACAAGAAATGGTAAGGAGCATTTAATGGAATGGAGTCCTGGTGTGGCGCTGTGGGTTAATGCACTGGACTGCCAAGTTGGTTTGGACCACAAGATCGTTGGTTCCAGCTCACCAGCCACTCCTCAGAAATCCTATACAGGGTCATTATGAGTCAGTACCAACTAGACGGCACTTAACAACAATATGTATATATACATATATAAAGGAGTTCCAGTGTGGCGCTGTGGGTTAATGTGCCAGACTGCAAAGCTATTTGAACTGCAAGGTCAGCAGTTCAAGCTCACCAGTTGCTCCTCGGAAACCCTATACAGGGTTGCTATGAGTCGGAACCAACTCGATGGTACTTCACAACATATATATAAAGTATCACTGAGTTGGTTCTGACTCATAGCAACCCTGTATAGGCTTTCCAAGGAGCAGATGGTGGGCTTGAACTGCTGACTTCATGGTTTGCAGTCCAGTGCTGATCCTATAGTACCACACCAGGACTGTGTGTATATATATACATATCAGACATCGTGGCAGCTAAATTCATGAAGAAGAGTAATGTCAGGAGATCCAACAGTATAATGATATGAGGGATTTACTTATATTTCTCTCAGAAATTAACAGGAATAGTAGGGAAAAAAATAAGACTTACAGGGACCCAACATTTGTTTACCAATGTCTCCCTACCACCAGGAAGTATTTTTGTAAACATACTATGATATTTTTTTTTATCTTTTTAAGAGTAAAATGTAAAAAACAACTACCTCGGGGAAATAAGGGGAAGGAGTGGTTGATACACAAATGTTGCATGTTATTTACATCAAAATATGAAACTATTCAATTCAAGTAAATGTGCTCTAACTGAAGGATTAATGTTTTTTAACAATTTTGTCATTATCTAGATAACCAGTTTGTACTTACCCTTCTCCAAGTTTCTCTAGCACATCAAAGACTTCTTCAGGCTGTTTAGTCAAACTGTCTTCACTCAGCTTTTTTAGTTTACTGATAATGAAAAAAGAGAAAAACAATTCTTTAGTCCTTTCACAAAAATAAATTTTTTATTTTTAAATAGTATATATATAGATAGATATACATGGCTAAAATAAATCAAACAATACAAAATAGTCCCATTGCAAACCCTGTTCCTCATCTACCAAACTCCATCCCAAATAACCACTTTTGTTAACTTCCTGTAAAACCTTCATGCAACTCCACATACTCTTTTTCCCTTCCACACCTGCTTTTTAACACACAAACTAGCATTTATACAAAATATTTTGAGCTTTTCACAGCATACAGCCCATTCTGAAGGTCATTTACAAACATCAGTATGTATTTATTGTTGTTGTTAGTTGCCATCAAGCCGACTCCAAGGCATGGAATATTTTTGTGGTCTTTCTGATTATCTGCCATAGAGAAGACTCTTAGTGCTTTTGTTTTTTTTTAATTGTCGTCATGTATGGCATGGTGGAAGTGTTGCCACTGGTATTTGAAATCCCAGCAGTGTCACCCATGGTAGAC